AGATAGATAGATAGATAGATAGATAGAGCACACAAAGCTGGGCCGAAACGATTCCACAGACAGAATTGAGCATGCTCTGTTAAACAGGGCTTTCCCTTGTCTACCACTGTTTGGTGATATTTGAAGAATGCAAACTGCAGGCTCCAGTTAGGAGGAATACTGGATAATGTGAACATAATAAACATGGCTTGTAAATCAAGACAAAGAAAGACTGGGAAAAACAACAACAAAAGCTATTCACTACAGCATGAATCACACATTTCTTGGAAATGTAGGCAGGGCTTTACATGCTCACAAGCTTCAAAGAGAAAGCAGCCCATCACTCTGAGTTCAGACTTGAATGTGACTTATATAATAGCTGTGTGTGTGTGTGTGTGTGTTTGTGTGTGTGGAGGCAGCCCCGTAGAACACCATACTGCCTTCAGAAAAAAAAATCCTCAAACCTGCCCAGACTAGTAAGAGTGCATGCTGTCATATGAGGGCCACATTGCTTTTATGGTGTGACTGTTTGCACTTATCAGGGAGTCTCGTCTGGTTCACCCACAGATCTCTCCACAACTAAAAATGAAACAAATGTCACATTTCTTTTAAAATGATCTCAAGTGCTGTTCAGCAGTATTTTCCACTATCATACCAGTAATTTAGTCTTTTCCATCCGAAAGAGTTATAATATACAGATTCGGGATTTCCTGCATTGAACATTTTTAAATGGTTCAGTCAGAGCCAGAAAAAACGGTTTTGTTGATTGAGGCTTTATTAATTCTTGCATAATACATATTTTTATTTCAAAATGGTCAGAACTAACGTGGAAATAACTGGACTTCTGTCAAATAAGATACCTAATCTTTGCTTTTAACTTATGTGATCTGATCATGCTTACTTGTGTAGTTACCTCCAACTAAAGACCAATTATGAACTGGGAAAAAACCTGTACTTTGAGGAATTTTCTTCACTGGAAAGGATCAGCGTTACAAGTCGCAGCATGCTACCATAGTGTGTTACTGAAAATTACTGATGTACACACACACACACACACACACACACACACACACACAC